TAAGTGGAGGAAATTCAGTCCGAAAACAAAGTACATACAAACTGTAACTAAAAATCTAAACAAACCACATTGCAGTAATTAACTTGACAGGGCAGGAGAAGGAATTGCAGACTTGAAAGCCCAGCAAAACACACACAGTTGGGAAGACGCCAGATAAGCTGGGAAGAACCCAGATAAGCCTTGATGATACCACATAATTCACGATTTGCTCCCAACAACTTTGCTGTGCACAGCTTCCCTTTTTAAATACTGTGTTCCCAGCTGCAGCTAATGAAGGGAATCAGGGCCCTTTCCTCCCTGTAAGCCACACAACTCACGTTGCTCCCTTCTCCATTCCTCCCTTCATACCCTAGGATGAAGAGGGGGTGCACCTGGGCCTTCCTCCAAATTCCCTCTCCCTTACTCTACCTGTCCCCTGCTCTGCCCAGCCGGCCTTTGCTCTTCCCCAGTTTCTTCCATAGCCAATGGAGCCACACTACCACTCCTTGTCAACTGCTCAGCCTCCCCCTCTGAATCAGATTCTGACAGGGGCATGACAAGGGATCAAGCTCAACTTAAAGGAGATACTTTATTTATAGAAATAATGTCCAAATGGTGTCCAAGAAAACTGGGGGAAACTATATACAATAGAAAGGTAAGGTTTAAAGTCATAAAATGGCTCTTTCCAGTCAAATCAATATTGTACTGTAGACTTCTCCCCCTTATCCATTTTTTCATTACAAATCTATCAAGCCCTATTGTACAATTTTGTAAAAAAAGTGTCCTTCAGCACTTATACCTTGGGGCATTTGAATCTAGATGTGGACATTCAACTTGCTTCAAACCCCTCCTGTTTGGGATTCAAACATAGCCTATAAATATGTGTGTAACTGGACTCTGCTGAGAGCTTTATCGTGACACAGCCTTCGTTCCCATACAAGTAATCAGAGCAGCTAGTGCTTGTGATCAAATCAGGATTGTCTGCCTGTTATGAACAATCTAGAAGAGCATGAGTAATCCGAGGTTTCCATCATAACTTCTGTGATACACCCTGCATTCAGAATGAATCAAGAACATTCCAAACACATCACTATTTCTCCTGGTAAATAAAACCTAAGCAAACATATATATTGGGTTCCTATCAAACAGGGTAATATGAAGATGGAAAGAATGATAGCACTGTGGTTCCCCCCCAAATTAATCACTTTCATTATGCTTGCTATCATTCCAAGGATGTTTGCCAGATAAATTAGGAAATTAAAAACTCATTCTAGCTAATTTGCCAGTAAGCATTACCCTTATTTCAATCTTTACCCAATTAAGGGCTGTTGATAAGGGTAGAGTATTTATAGGAGAACAAAGCTGTGTTGTGGCATTGTAGGACCTGAGGAGCAGACGTTTTGCTTGGCTGAAAGCAGCATCTTTGAACAGTGTAAGTATTGGGGGAACTTTACCAGGGGATTAGTTAGATTGGATGCTTGGGAACTTCAGCACTAAATTCATCTGAGACAATTGTATGAAGGGGGGGGGGGAGCGAATTTATTTTTGGTTTAATTTGCTCTGAAGACATTCTGCAAAGGCTACACATCTCAAAGGTGCTTTTTTTCAAAAGGCAGTTGAACTTGTTTTTTTCTTTGAGGAAGACTTTCGCTTCTCATCCATGAAGCTTCTTCCGTTCTATTCAGAACATTCAAGAAGCTTCTTGAATGAGAACCAAGACCCCATCTCCTATATTTCAAAATATATGACTCCCAACAATAGGATATAAGAAAATTAGGAATCCCCAAAGAATCTGGTAAATTAGAAATGACTATATTGTAAAGTAAAATATTTGCAATGAGGTTATTATATTATGATTAAAAAGAATGAAAATTAAATAAAATTCCATAGGCAAAATTTGATTAAACTGATACAAAGAGGAAATATGAAATGGTTATATGAATATCTCTGGAATAAATGTAAGGTTCATTGTAGATTGGGGGGAAATGCCATGGGGATCCTGAATGTATTCGTTTTTATTTTATTTTTGTTTTTTGTTTGCTATACATCGGCTTTGAGAAAGTAAAAGAAGTAAATATGTAAAAAATAAAATAGGTGGTAAGCTGGAAAATAATAAGGGATAAAGAGTGGAAAATATGCTCTAGGATGAAATGCTTTTGTTACTGGATTAATGAATGGAAAACATGAAGTGAAAATTTATTTAAAGATCAATGGAATAGATAATGATTAGATATGAAACTAGATAAGAAAGTTGGAAATGTAACTATGACTATGTATGTATGTTGTAACCTGGAACCACATTGCTCACTTGAAGAGATGTATAAAAAATCTTTAAAAAATATTAGGAATCCCATAGGAAATCTTAGGCAATAGGTGGTTGGGCATCTTTTTAAATGCTTGAGTTAAAAGCTCCCTGGAAATAGAAGATATTAAACAATACAGTCTTCTTCCTTCTGTGAAGGTTCTCCATTTTCAAGCCATGCCCCATTTGCTATCTGAACTAGTGCTGCCTGAATGGTTTACTATCCCATCCTCCTATCCTATCTCATTCTCCTAAATCAAGCTTCAAGGGGCACTGGATTATTCCAGGGGAAAACCAGCATGGTGCAAATATTCAAATTACATTGGCATCTGAAAGAGGCATTAACGAACATTCATTCTTTGCAGGGATGTAATCACAAGACTAATAGAATTTCTATTTCTCCTGAGCATTTTTTTTGTCATCCCCCCATCCCCTCATTTCTTATTTTATTTATTTATCACCTTCTGTACTGTAATCTCTCTTCTTCTCCACAGGAGGGAGCTGAACCAGAGGTTCTTGCAATTTAAATGGGGAAAAAATTATGGTTGTAGGGTTTGTGCTTAGTTTTATTCATGATGTTTCCAAGATAATTTGAGCATTGCTCGGTTTGTCTTTTCAGTTTTTTTTATTATATAGGTGCATTGCTATTAGCAGTAGGACTCTCATCCTCCTTCAATCCCATTAGCACAGCATCTTAAAAAATCTATGTCAAATACAAGTTTTAACAAATCATATAAAACAGCACATACATACAAGCCGCTTAAGAACATTTATATGCAGAATAAAATGTTTCATCAAAATTCAGCATGACGCAGAATAAAATGTTTCATCAAAATTCTTGGAGAAATGATAGTCAGATGGTAGCCCATAAGCCTTCATGGGGAAAGGATTTCAAACCTGGGTCACCAGCAGCCTGTGAGATCCTTAGGAGTCATTATTTTTCAAAGTGGTATGCAAAATAACTCAGCTGATTATTATACAATCCTTTGCTATCCTTGCCCATCTCATCCAGGGAGAGTTATGGACATTGGACAGGCATACAGTAGATGAATCTACAGTATGCTAAAATTCCTTACATATAAGTCAGATTCCAACTTGCAGAAGAATTCTGACTGAGATTCATGGGAAGACAAACTAATATATCTGGAAGCAGGGTGTATTTTTCTCCCAATGGCCCTTTGCTTATATAACAAGATTAATGGATACTGATTGGTTGGTTGGTTGGTTGATTGATTAGTTGGTTGGTTAATTGGTTTATTGGTTGACAACTGCATTGAAACAACATGCAATTTTCAGATATCAAAAGACAATAATTTTTTATTACTCATAAATGTTGGTTTGGATTTTTTATGAAGCATCATGACATCAGCAGTGACTGGACTTTGGCAGCTAGCTGTGGCAGTGATGATCTTGATTCATATGTCCACATCGCTTCCTTCACTGGAAAGGTAAAGTCATTTCTATAAATTCCTTCTATAGCTCCAGATTTCTAATTTTAGAGTTTGCTTAACCATTCAAAGATGATCTGATTTTAGCCAGAAAGTGATAAGTAACCTTTTCACAAATACTCAGACAGCTGCCTTAATTCCACAGATGAGCATCAAGCAATGTTGGCATTCAAGGAGATACTTTCCATTGTTCATGATGCACTTGGACAGTCTGATAAATGCTTGATTGATCACCCATATCACCTCTGTGAATTTGCAAAAAGAAGGCAGAAGGAGAGGAAAGGCAGGATATGGGATATATTGAAACCTGATTAATTTAGAATATTCAGCATCTGTTCACCACCTGAAAATAATTGAATATTCAGATTATATATTGGGCCAAGTATGTTAGTCACTAATTCTAACTTTCTCCTGTGCTTCACATCCAAACTAGTTGCTGATTAACAGGGTTTTTTTTCTGCATAGCTAAAAGTCCAGGAAGAAGATTGCCGTATTTGAAGCACTATAGTATACATTGCAGTTCAATTAATTCAAAATACAGGTGGTTGAAGAAATACAATACTTTATCGGAGAAATAAAAATGAGTTGAAATATTACTTATTTTGTAGTTCTAAAGTTTTTTAGAGTTAAAAACCCCTGCAGAAAGGAAACTGTTAACATAAACATATGAACAGCAGTCCATTTTCCAAATTGACAGGTTATTCTCCCTCACTCAAAGGAAAAAGACACGAATATTTCCTTCTCCAGTCATGCTCTAAATCCAATTGCACATATTCAGTTGCTAAATTCTAGAGAACTTGGTTTAAGAAACAAGAATAAAAACTGAAAGACAGGTAATATATTGTATGAGCCTTATAACTCCAATTCTTCAGTTGCATGGAGTCAGCCTTACACTCCCTTTCCCCTCTTTTTTTAAAAATCTGGAGAGTAACAAAAGTCCAGACATTGGTGGATTAGTTTTTATATAGCAGAGAAATGATAGATAATGTTTGTTATCACAGAGATAGTGAACATTGCAAGGACAAAGTATACAGTAACTCACAGTTATTCTTTGCCAATCCTAGACACCAGCGGCAAATTGAACTCAAATTGATGCATGATGCAGGAATGAGAAGAGAATATGAAAAAGCTGCCAAGTTACTTGAAACACTGATGAATTACAAGCGCAGGTAAAAAAAAAAAAGAATGGTAAATAAAAACTTGCTGAACTATTCATAACCATAGACAGGTAGTACCTATTTACTTGACAGATGTGAAGGATCTCAAATATAATGTTCCCAAATTTTTAGATCATTATTATGATTTTTGCAGAAGATAAGTGATAAATGGACCTCCCCTCCTCTCCCTCCCTCCCTCCCTCCCTCTCTCAATCCTTGAACAAGAATTCTGCAAACAATAGCAGATGAATCAATTATATAGGGAATGCCAGAAATTCTGGGAGCTTCAGGGCTAATATGTGAAGGACAGTAAGCTGGAGAAATGTGCTTCAGGAAATCAGGAACATCCTTAGCTTTGAGATGTGGGAAAACTGCACGTTTATTTAAATAGTTTCCTAGGAATTATTTTTACGATGTGTATGCATTATCTTACAATTTACATCTGCTTTTGGGTTGATGGGATGAGAGTTTTTACAGAAGATGGAAGAATTATAACATATAGATAGTCTGTGACTTACAGCAGTTCATTTAGTGACCATTCAATGTTACAACAGGCTGAAAAATGTGACTTAGGGCCGTTTTTTTACAGTTACAACCTGTGCAGCCTAATCACACAATAGTGTGATTAAAAATTCAGATTCTTGGCAACTGGTTCAGATTTATGACCATTGCTATGTCCCAAGGTTGTGGGATCACCCTTTGCAACCTTCTCACAGGCAAAGCCAACGGGGAAGTCAGGTTCATTTAACAACCGGGTTACTAACTTATTAACTGTGGGGATTTCACTTAACAACTGGCAGGAAAAGTTGTAAAAGGGGGCAAAACTCACTTAACAAATATCTCACTTAACAACAGAAATTTTGAGCTCAATTGTGGTCATAAGTTAAGGACTACCTGTATATGGGTACCTATTGGCAGAGTGGGTTTTTCTTAGCTTTAATCACACACCTGGTGCTCTTCCCTTGTACACAAGCATCCCGAGGTCATCTGGAGCAGAGGATGACTCTGACTTTTTTGATAAAGATGCCAGAGATTCATGGAGTTCAGAAGACAAACTTCTTAAGCTGAAGACCTGCTTGCAATATGTACAGAATCTTGATGCAAGGTAAGAGCAGCTGAAGGCCTTCACCAACTGCTGATCTTGAAAGTTGAAAATGTTGAGAACCAGGAAGGAAATAGCCAGACTCAGGAGGCTGAATGCTTTTGTAGCATTAGGAAGGTCAAATCTGAGGAGACGGTACATGACAGCTTTTATCTAGAAACCAGCCACTAAATTATATCAAATTCCCCATTCTTATCAAACATCCATGGAAGCAACTGCAGCTGTATTGTGGAGGTAGTTCTCATTTAGCAGCAGCCCCATAAAGCAACCATTCGCAATTGTGACAGTGATGAAAAAAAATAACTTTGCAACCAGTCTTTGCATTTTTGACCTACATAAAGCAAAGGACACCAGAATGAAGAACATAAGCATAGTTTCACTTAGCAATGGTTTCACTGAACAACAGAGTTGCTGGTCCCAGTTGTGGTCACTCAACAAGGAGTACCAGTAGTTGCTCTTTGGCTGATGAGTTTTCTGCGTTTTGAATTCTATGCAACCAGTTTAGAACTTTCACTTGTCACAGTATGCTTACAAATTACTCTCGTCCTACAAATACACTAACGTTATTTCCCCTCCACCCCCAAGCACATCATCTCTCCTTGCTGATCAACACTGCCTGATCCCAGGGCTTCTTAGTAACATCTCAAACCAGGAATATTGGGGTCAACAAAAATGCCTCTTATTTTTCTGCTGGCAAAAGGAAGGTACAAAAGCTGAATCAACTCTATTGATTCACTAACTTTAATTGGCATCAAAGCCAGTGCAAGTTATGTCGTCTCAGGATACATTGTACTGAGGTGTTATGCAGAATCCCAAAGAAAGAAGATTCTGGGCTCTGGAATAGGAACAATAGCCAATATGGAAATAATTTGGTAACCCTCCTCCCTGTCCCTCCATTTGTCAACACTGGGCCTTCTTGAACTTCTCAGTTCATTGCAGTGTAGTTGGGGGTGGGTGAACCTTCCCTGTGAACATTGCAAGAAAGGTGACCACGTAAGAGCATAAATAACTTGCACCTTCAGCTACTAGTTGTGCATTAAGCAACATAGGGAATTACTTGGCTAGTCACCTGTGCAAAGTACTCTTTATTAGCCTGATGTTTCTCTGAATTTTGTTTGTAGCGACAAAGAAGCAGTGGTGGGATTCAAATAATCCAACAACCGGTTCTCTGCCCTAATGATTTCTCCCAACAACCAGTTCACCAAACTGCTTAGAAAGTTAACATCCGGTTCTCCCGAACTAGTGTGAACCGGCTGAACCACCACTGCAAAGTGGTGAACCACCACTGCAAAGAAGTGTAGGTCTACTGCTGGGGTTCAGTTTAGGGACTGGGGTTTCAGGAAGATGGAGGGACTGAGGTTACAGACAGTGGTGGGTTGCTGCCGGTTTGGACCAGCTTGCCCGTACCGATAGTTCCAACCACCTGCTGGGCCCACGCCCTCACCCCGGTGCTATCCCACCCTATATATCTGGCTCACTCGCCCCACCCACGCAGCCCATCTGCTTTCTGGTCTCACCCACTCTACTCACCACAGCTGCTGCTGCACAGGGAATCCCTGTGGTTTTGCAGCTGTGTGCAAGCGAAAGGGATGTGCACGCACATGCTCACATTTTTGGTTCTGCACGAGGTGAACTGATTGTTACAGTATGCGCAACCCACCTCTGGTTACAGAGCAGGAGAAAATGATTTAAAAAATGGACGAGGAAACGGATCTCTCATTTCCTGCTTCTGGATGTGAGGGTGAAGCCAGAGATGGTTCAGAAAGTCTGGTGGAGGCGGTGACATTGGGAAAAGAACCAATAGCGCTTCCCCTCAGCCACTAACCTTTAGTTTTAGGCCAACATGCAATTGTCATCCCTGTCAGGCTGCATCTTCCGATGAGTCAGTCAGGACCCCCTCCCCCAGTCAAGGTGCCCTACTGCACCTTGCTCTGTGCTCTCACAGAGTTTCCTTGTGGCCCTGAGAAAATGACAACCTTCAACTGGCCATAGTACAGGGCAGGGGTGTGGCAAAACTGCCTCTTGTAGCAACTGTGGATCATACAAAGTTGATGGATGAGTGTCCTAAGTCCTGAGGGGGAAACTCTCTGCGGTTGAGAGGCAGGATGAGCTAAGAACGTCTACCATGTGAATGCCTGTCCCATGGCAGGCAGAAACATTACAGATCTGTCTTTGCAGTATAAAGGGCCGTGGTGGCACAGCGGTTAGAGTGCAGTACTGCAAGCTACTTCTACTGCCTGCTGGCTGCCTGCAATTTGGCAGTTCAAAATTCAGCAGGCTCCAGGTTGACTCAGCCTTCCATCCTTCCGAAGTGGGTGAAATGAGGACCTAAATTGTTGGGGACAATATGCTGACCCTGTAAGCTGCTTAGAGAGGGGTATAAAAGCACTGTGAAGCAGTATATAAGTCTAAGTGCTTTTGCTATTCCTTCTGGAGTAGAGCTTGAGTCAACAAATCACAGTTTCCTAAGGCCTACTACACTGTGGAAATCCTGGCTTATAGCCATCCCTATTTGGTTTCCCATGACTTAAGACTGTGAGATAAGGTTCAGTAAACAAACAGGCAGATGGAGGAGAGCCTGGGTCTCCAACCTTGGCAACTTTAAGACTTGTGGACTCAGCTTTGCTGGCTGAGGAATTCTGGGAGTTGAAGTCCTCCAGGTTTAAAGTTGCCAAGGTTGGAGACCCTGCTGTAGAGCAGCTTCTAGATTTAGTAATGATGGGAAGGCAGAGTCCTAGGACTGCAGGAATGTCAGCCAATCCCAATTGCACTCTGTTTTATCTGATGACAGCTTTTCAGACAGAACAGCCAATGGTGCAGTTCAGACCTTGATACACTCCATTTGCCAACTGATTGCAAAAATGAAAGAGGAAGCCTCTGGAGCAGCAGTTCATGGAAGTCAGGAGTGACATATCCAGTACTGAGAGGATTCTCACACAAGGAAATGGCCACTTCCGTTTGTCCAGCCTAAAAAGAAGATAGTTTCAGAAGAGACAAATGGCTAAACCTATGAAATTGTTTTAGATAATGCTGTCCAGATTCTGTAAATTAAGGGAAATGGAACATGGAAAGAAATAGATTTAGTTTTTGGAAGAATCAAAGACATCCATCATTCTTTCAGCTTCACCAAATTCTAATAAAATAATATAGCAAGAAACAAAAAAGACTCTATTGTTATTTTGTTTGTGATGCTCAGTTACCAAACCTAGCAAAATAAAGTTTATTTGTAAACTAGACACATTTTTGTTAAGATAAGCCTTTAAAAGATATCTTGAAGTAAATAACAAAGGGGGCCAGACAACCCTGTGTGGCCTCTGGCTTCCAGTTTGCTTTACTTCAGATATAGCCTGGCCTTTAAAAAAAACCTGGCAAAACAAATAAGCTAAATAATTCTAATCTATCTTGAGGAAGCATCAAAATATCTTTATAGTATGCTGATTTGTATGCTGCATAGGAATATTAGCCTGAGTTCCAGTTCACTTCCAAGAAGCAACAATTCCACTAAATTACTTTTAAGGCATAGCATCAATTCAGAAACTTTGCATCCATTACCCTAATCTGAAAGCACTTGTCTTGGTGGGTACTTCCTCAACAGACTGCATCACTTTCCTTCCCCATCTCTCACAAACTGTGATTATCTGTGATGGCCTTGAACTCCCAACACTGCAATATGGAAGTCGGGGTCTGAAAACTGCTGCTCATACTAGGATTCCATAGATCTCATAGTAACTAAAACAATTCCACAGCCCAAGTGTTCCAACTCCAAGCAAAAACAGTGATAACTGGTTGTTTGCACTCCCCTGTATATATTTTTATATCAGCCTTGACACTTTCATTTGATCATGTACCAAAAAAAAGTCAGCAGTTCCTGTGTGTCAGAACTGGAAAACTATCAAAATACTTTTCCTCACAAAAGATGTGCAGCTCAGGAGGCAAAATGTGGCAAAATAAGTCTTTTTAAGAATGAGGAACAGAGCTAACATTGTTCAATCACTGAAGTTCTCAGCCACAGTGTCTGTGGGAGGCAAAGGAAGTGGGTAGATGACAACCTAAGGATCAACACATCTTGTTGCAAATAATGCAGTTCTGTTGGAAGAAATATCCTTCTGGGTTCAATTGCAAGTGGGGAAAAAGACACTGGAAACATGGAGGCTATTTGGAAAGATGGTTTAATGGTGGACAGGACCACATGGCTTGGAGCTCCAAAGTGAAAAGGAAGAGCACATGCTTCAAGATGTTGGATGAAAGAAAAGGAGCGAGGGCTGAGATGTTGAGAGACCCTTAGTTATATACCCTCTGTTTATATAACCTTAATGTTTCCTGTTCCTGTGTAAGAAATGTGTCCCATTGGCTGTCAGACTCCCAGGGGCAGGGGTCCTTCTCAAGCCAGGTGGTGAGATGGGCAGAGGCCTTTGTTATGTAGAATATTCTGGCCCAGTTTTTAATGGCCCACCCGTTAACAAAGGTGGGGATGAGCTTCTGCTTCTGAGGTGAGTTTCTGCTTCTGAGTTTTTACTTCTCTTTTTAGGGGAAATATTCTGCCTTTTTAATATTTCCTAGGATATTACATTTTTCTAGGAGAGGGGTGGGTGCTAACTTACTACAGTTCAAATATTTGTGTCAGATATCATGAGGCAAGTGTTACACTGTCTTCCCTGCAGGACAGTGTCCTGGCTGGTGTGTATTGTCATCGTGGGGTTTTTTGGTTGTTGTTTGTTTGTTTGTGACTGCTGCTGTTCTGAGCTTTCTTCAACTGAAGCAGAATCTTAACATGGAAATGCCATGGGATGATTAGAAATACTCCAGCCACATATTAGCATTGAGCGGGAAGCGTGGAAACCTCTTAGAGTAGATATAGCTCATTCTGTTAAATATGGGAGCTACTTTTTTGAGAGAATTTTTATAAGACGATATTCCACCAGCAATGGCTGTTATGTCCCTTTTCTGCCAAATGCTGATTAAAAGTTCCTTTATACAGCTGTGGCCCTTTCAGATTATTCAGA